GTTGTAACTCAGTATCCAGATAAGAAAAGGAGAATGTGATCAGGCACCCCGAAAGTGACTGATGTGGGACTTGAACTCTAGTTTATTTGTTTTTGTTTTGTTTTGTTTTGTTTTGTTTTGTTTTTTCCCTTCCTTGGCTAGCTCCTCTACGAGGCCTCGTGAGGCCACACTGCCTCTCAATGCCCTAACTCTAAAATTAATGCAAGTTGCAAAGTTGCATTGCTTGGAGTTTCTCCACCCAAGAGGTCCCTGTATCAAAAATCACAGGCCTGGTCCCTATCCCTTTACCCAAATAAGAATCATTTTTATCCCCTCAATGAGTGAGGTAAGTACTAGGGTTATCCTTATTTTTACAGATTAGGCAACTGAGGCTCTGAGAAATCAAGATTTTTGTCCAAGGTCTTCTGAGATGAAATTCTTACCCAGCTCTTCCTGACTTACAACGTTGTAAACCTCAAAGAAAACTCCATATGAGAAGTGTTTTGCAAACCTTAAAGAGATGTGTACATACAGACATACATGTAATACATTATACATTACTGTAAGTATTAAGGAACTAAGAAGGGATATTCCCACAGGGGCCAAGGAGTTCCTCCAACGCCTCTGGCAAGGTTGGTATGTTTATTGCGGTTAATAGCGATCACTGCTAAGTCTACAGAGTCTAATGAGTTTTGAAATCCCTGGAAACCAGGGACAACGGGGCACCTAGAACCTTCCCAGAAAAAGAGGCCTTTGGAATACAGGAGGTGGATTTAACCTTTTGAATTGGCCGGACACCAGGCGCCTATCTATCTGTGTAACTCCTGGCTGCCTCGGAAAAGCACTATGAGCTTGCCTGGTGATGAGGCCGGTCCCTCACCTGTCGGACTCTTTCAAAGCTCCAGAAGGCAAGGTGAGACACAACCGCCTGCATTCGCCCGGGCTCTCTCGGAGATTTAAAAAGCCGGGGCGGGGCGGGGGAAGATTCTTGGAATAAAACTGAAAACAGCCTCTTTTAAGCCTAGGTCTTTCTAGAGATCTGCTTGACTGCGTAGATCCATCCCTGGAGGCTCCCGGTGTAAATTTTGTGTGTGCATGTGTATGAAATGTGTTTGTGCCTCAGATGGTGCGGAAGGGAAGGAAGTGTTCTGAGCTGTTAAGTAATAACTAGGCTTTACTAGAATGAGCCCGGACTTCCTTTATTGGACTTTGAAGAATAGTCGAACAGGGCCCGATGCTCGGTGCCAAGTAGGCTTGGCTGCTTTCCTGAGGCCTGACTCTCCCCACCAAAGGGAAAGGAAGGTGTATGGCAGCTCTTAACTTGGGCAGACCGTGATTTCGTCAGTTTAGGGAACTCCCACAGAGGAAACTCCCTCCACCAAAGTAGATTGGCACCTACTGAGCAAGAGGTAGAGAATTGCTGAGGGCAGCGGAGAAAGGGTTATTGAGTGGTAGCAGCCTTTTGGTACAGAAAGCTGGTCTACCTCCGAGTCACAAAAACTGCGGTTAGGTTCGAGGCCTGCCTCCGGCTCCGCGGTTGTGTGATCCTGGACTACGTGAGGATTATCTCCGAGCCAATATATCATCATCATCATCATCATCATCATCATCATCACCATCATCATCATCATCATCATCAGAAAGTTATTTCAGGTACCAAGAGATCTCTACCTCCCTTTTACCTTCTTATCAAGTTCCTTCCATTATCAGTCATTTCTAGGACCAGGTTCCATCTCAAAGTACTCCTCATTTTGCATCTGTCATCAACGAGGTAAGACGACTAGCATTTATTAAGCACCTGCTAAATTCCAAGCAATGTGCCTTTAAGCCCTGAGGATATGAAGAAGGGGAGTGCAAACAGTCCCTGCCCTGCTCTCAAGGAGCACACAGTTTAATGGTAGAGACAACATAAGAACACATACAGAGAGGCCAAATTAGACATAACCTTTGACGGAAGACACTGGCATTAAAAGCTTCTTGAAGGCGAAATTTTTGCTGGGACCTGAAGAAAGTCAAGCCAGTGGAGAGCCCATCAGCTGGTTTATCTTTCTGGATTTTTTTCTTAAAAACTGGTATTAAAAAGGGAAAAAAATTTTTTTTTATCTTACATGAATGGGATGTGGTATGATGTTTAACTGACATTTGTTTAATGATGTAAAATTAACTATTAATGATCTCATAGATTTATCGGTCTGATCGCTCTCCTAGAACTACTATTGACTGTCTTTGGCGATTGCAGCACGTTCGCTTCTGGTCAGGGGACAGAGATACTGGGGAAGGGGCAAGAACTGTATATCGGTTAGGGACTTCACCGGTCACCTAGCAGGCCCTCCTTTTACTATAGATGAGAAAACAGGACCATAAGGACGAAGTGATTTGTCCAAGGTTATGAAAGCTGTAAATAAGGTGCTGGTGGTAGGATTCGAACTCAGGTCTTCTGATTCCAAAACCAATCCTCTTTTCAATACACCACTGGGTAGGATAAGGGTGTGGTCAGATGGGTCCTAAAAATTAAAAAAAAAAAGTGTACTTCATTCTGGGCCTCTGGTAACTAAGTGGAGGGTAGTCGAGGAGAGGGGGTATGGTATTATTTTAACTAGTGTGTCGTATCAGGCGTCCAGGATGGAAGGGCGCCATTTACAGACCGTAATCTCACTAGCAAGCATAAAGACCATTTAAGGACAGCCCTTCCACCTTTCTGCTACAGAAACCACAACCTGGAGTTAATTTTTTCCCTACCTCACATGCCCTGCTGCCCAGAGAAAATTTCTGCCTTTGGGAAAATTTGCTGTGCCGAGCTTAGCAGCTCAAACGAGAAGCCACGTAGCCTGGGCAAATACGGTTAGGGCAATTATTCGGGTAATTCCTCGCGCTCCTTCCCCGCGAATGCAGACTGGCTGTACTGGCTGCATTAATCTGACTGCTGCTCAGCTCTCCAGTTCCGTCTACACTGAACAGGCAGGGCCACAAAGTGGTTGTCATTTGGCTTTCTCCAACCTCGTCCCGTATCACCCCTCCTAAACGCCCTCCTTCCCAAAAGAAAACACCTCAGTCTCGGAGATTCTCTTGGGAGCAGTTAACCCTCTGGGGGGAAGGTGTCGCAGCCCCGGTTCAGGATCCTTGTCTCCCATCCCTGCAGTTGCGCAATATGCAAGAGCAGGAAGACTCTGGTGTAAGGGGGAAGAAAGGAAACTCAAGGGGATTCGAGGGGAGCGCCTTCGAAACTGTTGGCTGTTGGAATCACTTATTAACCAGAAGACTGCTTGCAGTCCCCTGTCATGTATCTCAAAAGAAGGGGCGTACGCTGGGGATTCCGGGCGCGTTCTCTGCTGAATTCCCTATCTGCTGCGCCAAGTCTGGGATGAGATCCTTCCCTAGCCCCTCTAGGTTTCCAGGAAATCCCCATCCCTTTCCGAGAGGGAAAGAGACCTTCCCGGCCGCAGGATAGGGACCTCGGGATCCTTCTTCACGACTCACGTGAAGTGAGTCTTCCTGTCCTCTCCTCATCCCATCCTTGACCACCCGAAGGCTCTGGGGTTCTCGTGTCCAGACGCTGCGACAATCTCCGAAGAGGCCTCTCGGGTTGTGCTTTCAGCCTACACCTCTTCCCCAAAGGGCTTGACGCACCCCACCCCTCCGCCGAGCACATGGAGCTAGGTGATAACCTGTCCCACTTTATCCGTGCACCCCCAAATCCCTTTTCCAGGCACACTTCTCTTTCAGCCTGGACTATAGAGCAATTCACCTAAACTCACCCCTACTATACACACCCACTCCTGTTTCATACAGGACCGAAATCGCTGCAGAAAACACCGACCAGGGGAAAAGCAGGGAAGTGGCTCTGGGCGAGTGCACTAAACTCCTCTGCTTCCACCCCCCCCCCCCCCGCCCCGAAACATCTTCCCTAACTTTGCTTCTTTGCTCCATCTCTGCTTGGGATGGTGCCTGCGATGTCTTTCCTCTGAATCTCCCAAAATAATCCTTTCACAAATGCAGGGTACCCAGTTCTACAACTCCCCTAGTAGCCCTGCTCCTTCTCTTTCCAGGTCCCCCCCCCAACCTTGCAAGCAGCCACCCCCCGACTCCTGCCCAGCCCCAGCTCCCCCAGCTGTTTATTCAGCGCTCTGCGCGGCACGCGCCAGGCGCACGCACTGCAACAACAAACCTGGTGAATGGAGAGTTTGCAAGGGATCGGGCGGCGCGAGGGCCGGGGCGGGGAGGGGGGCCAGGAAAGGGGAGGGGAGAGGAGTTTGGGGAGTGGGTGGAAGGAGGGAGGGAGGAGGGGGTGGAGTGGGGGCCGGAGCTGCTGCTGCTGCTGTTGCAAGCAGCGGGAGTGGGGGACGAGGCGGGGCCAGGGAGAGCGCGTGGGGCTGTGTGTCCCATTGAAAAGGCGGCCGCACTCCAGACCGTGAGCACTCACTTCAAGCCAGGGAACGTGGAAGGCGCCAGGGAACGTGGAAGGCGCCAAGGAGGGAGAGCGAAGAAAAATAAAAGAGAGAGAGAAATAAAAAAGGGGGCCAGAGTACGGCTGCGAGAAGCAGAGAAGGAGACCTAGCAAGAGAGTGAAGCTCTCGGGGAAGAGAGAGGGGGGAGAGGAGGATAGAGAAGGAGAAGCAAGGAGAGAGAGCAGGCAGGCTCCTCACTCGCTTGCCTTTTTTTTTTTTTTTTTTTTTTTTTTTTGCAAGAAGGAGCAGCTAGCGGCAGCCTCACACGCGAGCGCCACGCGAGGCTCCCGAAGCCAACCCGCAAAGGGAGGAGGGGAGGGAGAAGGAGGAGGAGCGGTGGGAGGCGGAGGAAAGACATTGCCACCTTCCATTCCCCCACCCTCAGGAGTCTCCCTCTCTCTTTTTTTTTTCTTTTTCTCTCTATTTTTTTTTTCTTCACTCCGGATACCTTGTTTTCTGTCCCTTTCCTCTCTTCCTTTGCCCCCAAGGTCTCGGCTTTCCCCCTGCCCCCTCCTCCCTGCGCAATCCGTCCTCTCCACCCCTCCGTCTCCCGGCTTCCGCATCTCCTGGCGGCCCATGGAGAGCCCTTCCAAGATGGAAAGCACCGGGGTCAGCCAGCAGCCTCCTCCTCCTCCGCCGCCGCCGCCGCCGCCGCAGCAGCGGCCCCAGCCGCAGCCAGCTCAGCCGCAGCCGCCCCAGCCGTTCTTGCAGCCCGCCGCCTGCTTCTTCGCGGCGGCGGCGGCAGCGGCGGCGGCGGCGGCGGCGGCGGCCGCCCAGAGCGCGCAGCAGCCGCAGCCGCAGCCGCAGCCGCAGCCGCAGCCGCAGGCGCAGCCGAGCCCGGCCGACGGCCAAGCCTCGGGGGGCGGTCACAAGTCAGCGCCAAAGCAAGTGAAACGGCCGCGCTCCTCGTCGCCCGAGCTCATGCGCTGCAAGCGGCGCCTCAACTTCAGCGGCTTCGGCTACAGCCTGCCGCAGCAGCAGCCCGCGGCCGTGGCGCGGCGCAACGAGCGCGAGCGCAACCGCGTCAAGCTGGTCAACCTGGGCTTCGCCACGCTGCGGGAGCACGTCCCCAACGGCGCGGCCAACAAGAAGATGAGCAAGGTGGAGACGCTGCGCTCGGCCGTCGAGTACATCCGCGCCCTGCAGCAGCTGCTGGACGAGCACGACGCGGTGAGCGCCGCCTTCCAGGCGGGCGTCCTGTCGCCCACCATCTCCCCCAACTACTCCAACGACTTGAACTCAATGGCCGGCTCTCCGGTCTCGTCCTACTCGTCCGACGAGGGTTCCTACGACCCACTCAGTCCAGAGGAACAGGAACTTCTGGACTTTACAAACTGGTTCTGAACGCCGTCTGCAGCCCAGGCCCGAAGGATAGCAAACTTTTGGAGCAGGCAAGTTGTGTGTGTGCGTGTGTGTGTGTGTGTGTGTGTGTGTGTTGGGGAGGGGGGAGGCGGTGTCTTCTCGTTTCCATCGCCTCGACATCCACCACCTCGGCTTGTATGTGTGCACGGAGGCGGGGGGGCGGGGGGCGACCTCCAATAAGGTTTTGTTGCGTTTGTGTGTCTGTGTTGAGGGAGAGAGGAGCGGGTGGCATCTGCATCCCTCCCCCTCCCCCTCCCATCACTTAAGTGTGTCTGTGTGCAAAGGTGAGCGGATCACCAGTAAGGTGCGCGTGTGCATGTGTGTGTTGGAGGGGAATTACTTTTCACCTCCTTCGCTTTCCCTCTCGTCACCTGTTTTGGTGGGGTGGGTGTGTGGGGGGGTGTGTGTGTGTGTGTTTATCCAGAGAAGTTTTAGCTAGATGTGTTGGAGCTCTTCTCAGCCATTTGTGTTTGAGGATGAGGGGTGGTGGGACCTGGTGCCGAGGCAGAGGGGGAGGAGTGAGGAGGGCGTGGGCTGGAGAGGGTGGCTTGCTGCCTGCCTGGCTGTGCTTAGCTGGGCCGCCTAGTGAAGGAAAAGACCCGGGAGTGTTTGAAGAACAGGAGAAGCCGTCCAGGCCCTCGGTGCATCCATCTGCCTCTCTTCCCCCTACCTCCTCCACCGCCCAGCCCCCCTACTGGTTCCCATCAGCCGAGTCTCCACACTGACCTCTTCTGTTATTGTCATGTTACAGGGTGACGGGAGAGAACCTGCCTCTTTAGCATTTTATTTTCTCCGCCAGCGACTCTGGGAGGAAGAAGACGAAATCAACTCCCCCTCCTCCAAACACCACGCAAACAAACAAAAAACCACGCCAGACCTGCAGTTGCATATCTCCATTCCCCCCCCCCCACCCCCCGAGCGGCCCTGAAGTACAACTCAGTACTACGCTAGTATCTTTGCACCGCGGTTCCTGAAGACGAGAATGAACATTGACTTAAGGGCCTGTGTTGTGTTGGGGCTGGGGTGTGTGCAGAGAAGCCTATGAGCTGCTCAGTGGCAATGGAGTCAGAAGGGGAGGGGGGTAGCACGTGTTTATCGTATACATATGAACGCTAACATACAAGCCTAGAGCCTAAAGTACCCCCCCAACTACTCCCCCCAGACCCCGAACTCCAAACCCATCACCCAAAGTTCACGTCTTAAATCCTTCAGGAATGAGTGGCGGGCCTTTTCTCCTTCACTCGTTATGGACCTACATTTACTTCCCCCATCAGTTTGTCTGCAATGAAACTATGCTGTATTCAAAGAGTCCTTTGAAATCACTCTCTCCTAGTCCTCCCTTCCCCCTCCAGACTCAGACGATCCCCCCCTTCCTTGACATCTTTTCTACCGTATTCATCTTAAAATGCTTCCAATCTTTTGTGAATTTTTTTTTTTATTATGAGAAAATCTATTTGTATCTATCCTAACCAGTTTGGGGATATATTAAGATATTTTTGTATATAAGAGAGAAAGAGAGAGAGAAAAGAGATTTATAGAAGTTTTGTACAAATGTTTTAAAATGTGTATATCTTGATACTTTACTTAATATGATGCTTATTACCTCTGCCTGTTTTAGCTAAATAGTCACCACCACAACTGCCATCTTTTGTATATGGTTGTGTAAAGGACCCTCCTTACAGGTGGGGCAGAGAGGCTGCCGGATGTACTTTAGCACCAATGTGTCTTACTTTATAGAAACTTTGTTAATGTATTAATAATGTTGAACCCTGTTGGAGGAGGGGACGGAGTTTATGCAGCTATTGTCCAAACGCAAAAAAAAAAAAAAAATGGTAGCCATTGGTTTTCCTATTGCTGTCTTGTTTTGGGAGAACTTAAAACCACTGCCTATTTTTCTTACTGTTTTATTACAAACTTACAAAGTTCCTGTATAACCCTGTTTTATACAAACTAGTTTCGTAATAAAACTTTTTTTTGTTTTTTTTTTGTTTGTTTTTTTAAAGAAAATGATCCTTTGTCTCTCAAAGTTTTTGGACAGGGCATCCCCATGCCTATGGGCTGGAGCGAAGGGAAGGGAAAGGAAGGGGAGGGGCTGGGGTGAATAAGGTAGAGGGTAGAGATGGTACGAAACACGTTTAGTGGAAAAGATGACAAAGATAAGTGTTATATGGAGCCTTGGCCAGTATGTTGTCTCTATGATGAATGTAAGGGCAAAAGATACATAGGTAACAGTTGTGTTCTTGCGAGTCCATTCTGCAAATGCACACACACACACATATACACAGACATACACACACACATACACATACACCAAGAGAATAGGGGATGATTAATAGCTTCATTGTCCTTGAGTGAAATCACTGCACGTTAAATAATTCCACCAAAAGAATAAGCTTGGAAAAGAGGGCGCTCCATCCCACACTTTTCATCCCTCTTCTGTCCCTCTAACTTCTCATTGTGTCACCAATGAATCGATCTATGAAATTTAGAGAGAAAGGTTAAGGGGAGGAGAGGGGAACTCATGGTAAAAGCAAGCTTTCTTGTTTGGGGTGTGGTTCCCACCCTCCCCATACCAAACACACACTTTCTCTTTTCTAGTCTTTGCACAATGACATTAAACCACAGATTTGCTGCAGTTCAGAGAATTCCTGGAAAAAAGGGGAGGTGAGATGGAAAAGGAGTAGGGGGAGTCCGAGGGATTGAAATTAAATAAATAAGCCAGAAGAGAAGTAATGTGAGGCAAATTAGAAACACTGATGTGGCTAAGCCTGTAGTTCTGGCCAAATAGTGTGATCCGCCTACAAAAATTCCCAATTACCAAGTTTCAAAAAGAAATTGGTTGTGGATTTTATTTCTTGCTTTCTTTTTTTCCCCTCTCATTTCTCTTTCCTTTTTTCTTTTTCTTTCTTTTTTTCTTTCTTTTTTCTTTTTCTTTTTGGTTAGTCTGCTTGTTGTCAGTTAGCAGAGACGTGACCGGAATCCAAGCCTGTTTTCGCCTGGCTACTTGCTTGCCTTCTGCATTACTTGCAAATTCAGTTTGCGTGCATGAAGCCAAGCGGAAAGGAGAACGCAAAATGCATCTTACAAAACCCAACAAAGAGCGCAGAGCCAGCGTGTCTTACAGAGTTAAAAAGAAAAAAAATCTTGCCTGTGTTTGTGCATCCAGCTCTATCGTTGATTCGCACCAATAATGCTACGCTCATAGATATACAGAGATATTTTAGGCTGCCAGGCAATGAGCACTCCGAAGTTTCTTGGCATTCTACAGAAGTGCTCTTCTTTAGGATGCACTCAGGCCTTTCAGAAACAAATGATCAACGTGATTAAAATGGTGGCGGGGGGGGGGGGGGGGGGGAGCCAGGCAATTCCCCATCTTCATAAATAACCATAGCCTGTGAAAGCCCTGGGCCAATTTCAAGATTACTGATGAAAATAATGACACAGTAATGTTTCCTTCATGTTCATCCTTTACTTTTGGGAAAATTAATCTTCTCTTCTCTCTTCTCCTCCTCTCCTCTCTTCTCCTCCTCTCCTCTCTTCTCCTCCTCTCCTCTCCCTTCTCCCCTCCTCTTCTTTTCCCTCTTCTCCTTTCCCTTTCTCTCCTTTCCCCTCCTCTCCTCTCCCCCATCTCCTGTTTTCTCCTCTCACCTCTGTTCTTTCATTCCCTCTTTCTCTCCAAGTCCCCCCTCCCCCAACTCCTTCGCAAGTTTACAGATAAGGTATGCAAAAGAAAGTGTAGCTAGTAATTTATGGCTATGAATATAACATTAGGATAGTGTTTCACTGCGCACAAAGGGGAATTTTCCTTTCCTTGTGTAGACAGGTGTTCTTTTGCTCACTTCTGAATGGTAAATATTCAGCACTCATTAAGGTCCAGGGAAAGTTACGCCGTGGTTGGCCACAATGTGTAAGGCAAACTCTGGAAATTCACAAAAACACACACACACACACTCACACACACACAATTTTGCAGAAGATAGGAAAGGGCAAACCAGGATTGGGGTAAATCTCATTACATCTGCTCTAATCGCTTAGCAACACAAAGCCTTTTCTTGTATCAGGAGGGAGAGGCATTCATGGTGCCCTGACAAGCAGTATTCAGCCAGCATTAGTAAACCCCATAAATCAGAGGCTTCTATTGGGTGCCCGAGGACTTTTTAAAGCTTCATTGGGCTAGCAGAGAGATGCAAAGCATAGACACAGGGACTAGTGCATTTTTTCTCCACTCCCATTTTCTTTTGGAAGGGGTGGTATATGTATGTTGGGGTAGGGGTGGTGGGTTGTGACTTATAAACTGGTTGATTAACCAATGTAAAATTACAACTTGAAAACAGTTTTTTTTATTCCTGTTCTGAGAGGGATGCCTACTAACCATCAAATTGAGGCTTAAATGCTGCAATGAAAGGGGGTTGGGTGGGGGGAGAGAATAAAACAACAACAACTACTGTCTCAGCCAGGGAATCCAATATCAGAGACCAACATGGAATTGTTGGGGGTGGGGGGTGACATTGAAGCCTCGTATCTGTTTCCTTTGGCCGTACTTTTGGGTTCTGTAGGGGAGCTGTCTCAAGTTCAACCCAAAGAATGGGGTAGGGGCCCACCATAGAAGAAATGTATTAGAGCCAATGGATAAGGGTGCAGGCTGTCCTTGGGGCAAGCACAGTTTCCATTCTAATAATCTCACCTGCTTCAAGCTCAAACTCAGGCTCAAGAAAGAAAGCTTTCCTCTCTCATTGCATTCACTGGGCTGATCTTTGATCTTTGTGGGTAGACTGGCACGTAACCCAGAACCAGCCTTAGGAACCTAGAATGTTTTGAGATGGAAGGGGATGTCAACAATATAATACTCCACCCTACCTCAATACTTATAAAGTGTGCAATGTCCTATCTTCACAACAACCCTAAGGGGTTAGGTAGTGAGTTGCACATTTGACAAGGTAACTAAAGAGTCCTGGAACTAGAATCATAGGACTTATGTTCAA